TCCCACCGGTGCTTCGCCGGCAGGGAACAGGGGGAAGCGGGTACAAACATCGACGAGCAGACCAAAGGCGACAAACCAGAGGATGTACATGAAGAGGTCCACGGGCCGGGGCACAAAGGCGCTGGAGAAGGGGAGGATCCACAGCAGGGCCAGGAGAATGGAAATGGCGGACACGACAATCGTGTAGATGTGGCGGGCGTTGGTCCATGACGACGCCTGGGAGTGGTCGAGGTAGTGACCAACGAGACCGGTGACGATGGCAGCAAAGGCCAGCTCCGCGGCGCGGAGGACCATGCTGAGAATGCGGTCGAGAGCCATTGTGTGTATGTGCTAGAACGGGCTGTGTGTGGGTGTGGGTAGGGTAGGTAGGTGAGGAGGGGCTTGTGAGAAGAGTTGCTTGACGGCAAAAAGGGGACTGTTGGCTGGCTGCTGTTGGCTGGTTGAAGAGGAGGACACTTGTGACTTTGGGTGGGAGCCAGAGGGCATATTTATCAACATGGTCAAGCAAATCAGGCCTGGAGGTCTAAACTCAGGGCGGCCCAAGCCAGAGTCAGATGCGCTCCCATGACTTAGTCCCTCTGCCCACAAAGCCAGGTTTGATGCACTGCGAATGCCCAGGCCAGCGTCATCATCCATGGGGTCGGCCGGCCCAGCGTCAGCCACGGCACGCGTAAGGGTTCGTTCGACGTGAGGGACCATGGCCACACATCAGGGCATCTCGGCAGTGTAGTGGGTACATGGGCTGGACCCTGGATCAGGGCCAGACGCAGGGTACGATGCACTTGGGGCCGTCTGCCGGCTGTCTTGGCCCAACTCGACTCATCGGAGCAGTCCTCCTGACCTCCTGGCCACCCACCCGCCTTGCATCGACTGCCGGCAGCCCGCTAGGCAGGTTGGAAGGGGGGAAAGCAGTGTAGACAGAGGACGGTCGCCGCCCATGATCGAAACCTGCACTACGCACCGCGGGGACCCACGTCACTGACAGGGCCTTGTGTACAAGGGACGCGGCATCGAAGGGGGGGATTGGAGGTCGTGGTTCAGATGCGAACGCCGGGTAACGGCAAACCAAGCTTGCTGGCGAACCTTTTTCTTGTCTCTGGTTTCTCTGGTTTCTGCCACACGCAAGCCACCGGATACCACCCTACCAAGCAGCGACAACGCGTTGTGAGTGGCCGCCCACAACCTGTAGAGCACTCAACATGACCTCATTCGGCCAGGGGACCAGCCATCGTGGCGCAACAGGACAGGACGTTGAATGGGAAGATTGCCCAAATCTGAAACTTCGCCTAAGCGCCCCCGCCAGGGCCGGCAATGGGGAGGTAATGGTCTCGACCAACTTATGAGACTGACGACGCCCAGCCCTGTAAATGGAGCCCATCAGGAAAAAGACGGACGGGACCCCTTGATCGCGATGCCAGGAGAAGGGAGCGTCACAGCGTCGCGCGCTTGTGGCTCGACGGCTCTGGAACTCCGGATCTTTCGACGGTTTCTGACAAGGATAGCAATGTCTGGGCTGGCGTCG